AAAGGTGCAAATTTCCAATGATGAATGTCATTATATTGTATACCTAAAATGTACCAATAAAATTATTTTTTTAAAAATTCAAAAGTTTAAAAAAAATAATCGCTGATATAGAACATAGTAGATTCCTGCAATCCCTAAAGCTATGAAAAACTTTTTAAAATTGTGATAAAATACATAACATGAACTTTGCCATCTTTTTTAAGTGTACAGTTACGTATTATACACTACCTGCCACAATGTTGTGAGGCCATTACCATTATTTCTAAAATCTGTTCATCACCTTGAACAGGAATTCTGTACCCATTAATCTTTAACTCTCCACTCCTCATTCTCATCTTAGCTGCTGGTAACTTCTGTTAATGTATTTTAGTGTTAATTTTGTTAATGCATTTTAGTCCTCATTTTTAAATCTTTTGTCATATACATAGGAGTAGAAGTGCTGGTCACATGGCAATTCTGTTTAACTTTTTGAGGAACTGCCAAACATTTCCAGATGACTATACTACTTATGTCCCTGTCAGTACTGTACAAGGATTTCTGTTCTCCACAACCTCACCAATAGTTGTTATTTTTCATTTTCTAAATTATAACCATCATTCTAATACATAGTACATTAGAAAACTTACAAACATTAACAAACCCAGTTTTTAAGTTGGTAATAATTTATAATTAATTATTAGAGTATCCTAATGAGATTGATAACTAGTAATCCATTTCCATTCATATTTTCTAAGTAATGCCACCAAAACTAATTGGAAAACACTTCTGACACCAAATCCTCTATCATACACTATCTGGGTAACCTATCATTTCATTCTCTACACTGTTTACCTGGAGATAGTGTCAGATCCCATCGTTAAGGGGCTCAGTGCCACAAGACTTTTTTTGTTTCCACTTAGGTGCCAATTCCAAGTCCCAGTTGTGCCCTGCTTCTTTCAGAAGTTTTATTACATGTTCAGCAGGCTTAAACACAAGAAGGGCATAGCAGAAGGGCCAGGGCAGAGGAAGGCTGCTCAGGTCATGGTGGTCAGGAAGCAGAGAGGAAGGGGAGGAACCAGGGAGAGGAGATAGCCCTTTCAAGTCATGCCCCCAGCGACCTGCCTCTTATGACTAGACCCCACCTCCTGATAGCAAGTTAGCTATAGCACCTCCAATATTCCGTCACTGTCCAAAAGCCCTGCCTCTGAGCACATGAGACTCTTCGGAGACATCTAGACAACTGTAAGACTACTGTGAATCCAGGTTCCCATAACCCCCCTCCCTAATTCAAGTAATTTGCTGGAGCACTCATAGAACACCAGGAAACATTTATGTTTACCCATTTATTACAAAGAATACTCATAGCCAGATGGAAGGGCAAGGTATGGTGGAAGGAGCGTAGACCTCCCACGTCCTCACCAGGTCCACCACTAGCAACCTCCACGTTTAGCTTTTGGAAGCTTCCCAACCCAGTCCATTTAGTTTTTTATGGAGGCCTCATTACACAGGTATAACCAACTAAATCGTTGGCCACTGGTGATCAGCTCCACTTTCAGCCCTGGTCTGTGCCCAGATCATGCCTTGGTCTTTCTGGTGGCCCATCCCATACTGTCCTGAGGCTTTCTAACCCTCAGCCACCAGTCATCTCATTTGAAGACACTTGGGACTCTGGCGATTCCAAGGTGCTCTGTGTCTGGAACCAGAGGTGAGAGACCAAATATGTATTTTTCTTATTATATCACATTTTCATATATTCTCACTCAGAAAATGTAAGTTACAGAAAAGTATGAATAAGGAAACCAAAATCACTTTTTATTTTAAAGTACAAAGCAGTCCTTCTTAAAGAAATAGAAATTTTTCTATATAACTTAACTTTGGGCACAAGATTTTATTAGAGACTGTAATTCAAAACATTGCTGAATTTAGTTTTTTATGAATATATAATGAGTAACCTTGTTTATCATTTTTCTCTTGACTTCCTTTCCCCCTACCTTTTCAGAATAATCATTTTCCATGAATTCCTATATGGATTTTTAAAAGAACACAACAGTACTGAACTATCTGAAGTACTCATTCCTGAAAATCATGAACATGGACACAAATTCTACCTCTATCAACTTTTATTTAAATCAGTGGATATTTATGTAATGTGTTTTGGTTTAAAAGAATTGTATCTAGGTATATATTTTCATATATGTGCCAGAACAAATATGTATTAATAGTGCTTAACTGATGTGATATTTATATTTTATTATTATTCTTGTCTTAAAGTACTCCTTAAAATGTTTATACTGTGAATTAATATAATGTATTTTTCACATTATGCATCAATAATCTGTTTCTTAATGAGCCATGATAAATGTATGTAAATATTCTTATAATACTTGTTTTTAATGTGTTTTCAGTTTCCAGACCTGTGTTTGTAACCCATATCATAATCTGTTCACAAAGAAATATCACCTTTGATGCTGTGCATCATGCTTTCTTCTAAATGTAAAATCAGTTATTCACAAATTTGCTGTCATCAAGGGGAATATATTCAAGTGTAGTCAATTTATCAGAGGTCTTGATAAAATAACTTGCCATGTGTAATTAATTATTGCCACCTAGAAGAACTGTGATGAGAAAGATACACTTCTATATAATATTATATTATTTTGACTATTACATGGGCTCATCACATAATACAAGTTCTGTGAAAATCTAAATGTATTTAGAGTTTTGTAAAACACAGTTTAGGGAAATTTTTTCAGTAAATAAAATTCCTCAGTGTATTAGTCTAAAATTTCAGAATATAAAAGTATAAATATCATAAACATTTTGGTAAAATTCTAATATACATTAAACCATATCAATTTTTTGCTTCTACCTGTATGTTGTAACTTACCAGTCTTCCAGAATAGTATGTAAATGCTGACTCTGGGGCATATAAATTGAAAACAGCTATTTACAGTTCATTTTCAAAGTTAGAATTTTTAAAAACTTAGGTATATGCATATGTTAATAATAGAAGTACAAAAGAATATCAGATACAAAATTTAATCATGTTTAAACCATACACATTTGAAGAAAAATCTGTTCTAACAGAATTCATTATGATTGTGAAAAAACTTAAAAACTAACATAAAGTGAAAACTCAATTACTTGTATTTTGTTTCCTCTGTGGTTTAATAAAGTGGAGTTGCTGTATGTGTTCCTGGAGGTGGCCAGTGCGCTTTCTCTGTAACTAGTTTGCCTTAGGTGTTCAGGAGAACACCCTTAGAAATAATTCCAGGTGTCTTGGGTGTGTGGTGGCTTATTTTCCCACCACCTTTGCAATTGTATGTATCCTGTCTCTTTTGAGTGAATTCATGTATTACAGGAAAATATGAGAGAAGTGAGACTATTTGCAATGTCATATGGAAAGTCTCTTAATAAATATGTGTAAATAAAAATATTTATCCCCACCTTTTCCCCCCAAAGCAACAGCAAGACATATTTTGTTAGATATTTCAACATTTTTATAATTAAAACTGTATAGCTTGCCATAATTGTTATTTTCATAACCATGATACCATAATATTTTAAACATTAATTTTAAAATATTGAATGTTCTGACCTTTTACAGATGTTTTTAATTTTGTTTTAAGTAATTTTAAATTATGGAGCTTGACAAATTTATCAATAAACATTCCAATTTATTTTCTCTTACAAATACTTTTTTTTATAATTTTATATTAGCAGTATTTTTACTAAAATGTATTCAAATCAGACTTTATCATGGTGGTACCTGGGAAAATCCCTGAATTCAGGTGCTTTTACACTGCGCTAGATCCCCAGACTTTTTCAAGTGCTTTTAAATTTTATTTTGAGACAAGTTCTCACTAAGTAACTAAGCTGTCCATACTGGGCTTCAACTTGTGATCCTCATGCTCAAGTTGCCAGATGGAGTGGCCTGTCTCCGTGTGCAACTGTGGCAGTACAGAGGATGAAAAATTACTCAGAGATGAAACAATTCAGTCACAGAGAAGGGCAGAGGGGCTTTCTCAACTGAGAGCACCCAGTGTTAGGGAGACTCCCAGGAATATCACCAAAGCTGAGAGCTCTCTGGCTATTTACAATATCAGTGTAAGAAAGAAAAGCAGTTTGGGGAAGAAGCTGTCTCAAGGATAGGCAGTTTTCTTGGGCAAATGGGAAGGACAATGGCTAGAAACCTTGTGCTTTACTAATCTAAACTTTTTGTTTAACCATTTACTCACAACCTGTGTGCTTTTGCCCCACAGCTTTTTGGGGTGTTTTGTTGTTGTTGTTGTTGTTGTTGTTGTTGTACCAGGGATTGAATTTAGGACCTTGCAGGGCAGCACAGTGCCACTGAGCTAAATCCCCGGCCCCTTGCCCCACAGTTTTAACCATTCACTCCTTAGCCAAGTCCTCCACAGTGGCCCACAGCTGTAACCCAGCATTCTGGGAGATTGAGGCAAGGGAATCCAGCCTAATTCTAGACAGTTTAGCAATTTAGGGAGACCCAGTCTGAAAATAAAAGAGCTGGGGATGTAGGTCAGTGGAAAGGCCCTGGATTCAATCTCTAGTGACTTAAAAAAAAAAAGTCAAAGTTTCTATTAGTAATCTACCAACAAAATGCATAAACAGGTGTGTGTGTGTGTGGCTGCGTAAACGTTTTTCCCTTATGCAAATGCTTTTTGTTAAGAACATTAATTAGACTATGCCACTCATCACCCTATCTTATTGTAATTTATCACACATTTGATCTTATATCCTTCTCCCCAGGTCTTAGATTCTAGCATGTGGCTTACTATCTTTCTACCATTAGTTCTAACATCAATCTTTTTTATGCCATTGTCTTTTTGGACCAATAGTTATTGATGATACCTGCACGTTGGAGTTGCCTGAAGAATTTAATGAAGTCTTATGTGCAACCCCCAGACACCGGACCAGATAAATCAGAATCTTTGTGAATGAGGTGTGATATTGTTTTTCATTTTTAATTTTAGATTCTAGATGATTCCGATGTGCAGCCATGGTTAAGGCTGATTTTAAGAAGTGGACTTACTAAACTGATGTCATGAGGGCCGGAGATTTAGCTCAGTGGTTCCACTGCCTGCCTTGCAAGCTCAAGGACCCCAGTTCAATCCCCGGTACCAAAAAATAAAAATAAAATAAAATAAATTGATGTCATGACCCACTAGCAGAACTCAACATGTAATTTTGAAGAACACTGCTGTAGATCTTATTACCATCAAAATCTCAATTTCTGGCCAGGCTAGTTGGTTCGCACCCTTGGGAAGCTGAGGTAAGGTAGAATTTCAAGGCCAGCTTGGGCAACATAAGACCCAGTCTCCAAAACAAAACTAAAAAACAGGAAGGAAAAAAAACAACAACCAGGAGCTAGGCGTGTGTAGCTCATACTTAGCATAGGTGAGGCCCTAGGTTCAATCCTCAGCAGCAGTAAGGGAAAAAAAAAATCAAAACAAAACCCCTCAATTTCTGGCATCTTACTTTTGCTGGGTTACTACATTTGTTATACCTTTCCTGACAATTTTTGGCTATACTAGGTCTGCGGGCAATTGATTACATCACTCACCCCTCCTCACTTTCTTCTTTATTTAGCATAGACATTATGATTCTTGCACATACCCTAAATTCTCTTGTCCCTCCCAACTGAAAACTTGAATATTCTTTATGCCCAGTTACTCTGCACTTAAGCCGTTGACATGGCTGGAGAAGCATATGACCATGCTAATTTTTCAATTTATTTTTTTTAATTTTTTAATATTTTGGTACCGGGGATGGAATTTGCAAGGCAGGTGCTGGAACCACTGAGCTAAATCCCCGGCCCCTAATTCTTCACTTTAAATTCATAATCTGGAAAATTAAGAGCTCCCTGCCCTGGGTTCCAGTCCTTACCTGTTTTTCTGATCAATCCACACCTACCTTCTCCCCAAGTAGTCACACCTTCCTCCTTTTTGCTCAGACCTTTATCCTCCCTCCTCTCAGCTTACTTTTTAAACAGACTGAAAACATCAGAAATTTCTCACTCCAAATCCTGTAACAACATATCAGTACTCATATAATTTCCTTCCTATTACAGCATAAATTGTCTCTGCTCTCATTCCATCTAGTTGTGACCAGTATTCATCTCTCCTGCTGCTCAGACTCCTGCAGTTAGCTCCACATTCATGAGTCTTTTTTGCTCTCTTGGTTTGTTTGTACTTGGAAACATGTCTCCCTTTTTTTTTTTTTTTTGGTTCTAGGGATCGAACTCGGGTCCTTGCGCTTGTGCAGCAGGCAGCCAAAACCACTGAGCTAAATCCCCGGCCCCCATGTCTCCCATTTTTAATCTCCCATTTAAAAACCTTACCAAAGCTTTCCCACCATTCCATTTTTTGCACTTACAGCGAAGATTCCTTGAAGAGTTATCTACACCCATGTCACCACCCTCTACCCTTAACACCCACCTTTCTTTCTAGAACTACCCCAATTATCCTTTAATTTCCTGTGAAATCATTCTTAGTCAAGATACCAAAAACAGCCATTTTATCAAATCCAAGGGACCATGATCAGTCTTCTACTGAGGCCATGTCTCAGCAGCAGTTGACAGATTTTTGCATCTTTTTTAAACATCTTCAACTTATAAGGAAAATTTTTTCTTGTCCTGGCTGTTTTTATTTCTTTTACGGCATTCTCCAACTTTTCTTACTTTTTTGTTTCACATGAGGAGGGTTTTTTAAATTGCAATACCATTAAATTTACCATCTTAACCATTAAGTATTAAGTATATCTGCATTGTTGTGAACTATGTTCCCAACTTTTAAGTACAGGCCTATCATTTGTATTTACCCTTTCATTAACTTCAAATTTTATCTATTCAGATCCTGCCTTTTTTCTGAATTCAAGTCACATATATCTAAGAACTTAATACTCCACTTAAATATGTCAAAGTCATGCTAACCCATCTAAGTAAATTGTTCCACCATTCTTGTTCTGGTTCAGGCCAAAAGCCTTCAAGTTGTCCTAGTTTTCTCCCTGTCTCTCATACCCTACATCCAATTCATAAGCAAATTGTATCAGCAGTACCATTAATAAATACCTCTAATTGACCACTCCTTAGCTTCACCTCTACTGCCTGAGCCCATCCATCATCTCCCTCCTGGACTACTGCAAATCCTCTTATGTTGTCTTGCTTCAGCTTCTTGTGGTCTGTTGTTTATTCACAAGACAGCTAGTGATTTCTCTTAAAAATAAACTAGGTCAAATTGCAACTGTGTTCCAAGTCCCATAATGGCTCTAACAGAAAACACTCAAAAAACATTGTTGCCTCCAAGGCCCAGTGTAATGCTGCTATTCTCTTAGCCTCCTTGTTATTCCTGGAAACCACACAAAACCCATTTCCTCCTCAAAGGAAGATAGAACAGTATCGAGTAGGAATAAAACAAACACAAAAACACCAAGTGGAAATTTAGCTATGCAAAGATAATACTGGAAAGAAAAAAGCAGAGGGAATAGACAGTAGTGTACATGTAGTTTGAAATTAGTACATGTAAAAAGAAGATTGAGAGTGCAAGGTCCTGAGTTCGATCTCCAGTACCAAAAAAAAAGAAGATTGAGGAGGGCTGGGAATTTAGCTCAGTGGTTCCGCTGCCTGCCTCGCAACCACAAGGACCTGAGTTTGATCTCTGGTACTGAAAAAAAAAAGATTGAGAAATTCTTCCAGAAGCATTGCAAAATAAGATTGAAAGTATAAAAGAAAAGGTATGCATTATGGCAGATCTGAGCTGGAGTGCCTACATCCAGGTAATTGTAACCCACAAAAGACAAATACTAGAAGGACAGTAAAAAATACTTTTAAGAAATAATACAGGTAAGTGTCCCCAAATCAAAGAAGGATAAAATCTAAGGTCTTTATTAAAAGGTCTGAGTCAGAGCTTAGTGGTAAAGAGTGCATACTTAGCATTTGCAAGGCTTTATGTTCAATCCCCAGCACCAAAATAAATACATAAAGGGGCCAGGGATTTAGCTCAGTGGCACCGCACCTGCTTCACAAGCGCAAGGTCCTGAGTTTGGTCCCTGGTACCAAAAAAAATCAATCAATACATAAAAATAAGGCTCAGAGAAAGCCAAATAGGAGAGAAGGAAAAAACTCACATTAAGACACAAAATTTTAAATATCAAAGATGAGGGAAATTATCAAAGCTTCCAGAGAAAGCAGATTATATAAAGGGAACAAAAATCAGACTGAGGGCCAGGGATTTAGCTCTGTGGTTTCGCTGCCTGCTGCGCAAGCGCAGGGACCCGAGTTCCATCCCCGGTATCAAAAAAAAAAAAAATCAGCCTGACATCAAACTTCTCAAACGCAATGATATTTTCAGAATCCTGAAAGAAAAGAAATTTTGAATTTATTGTTTTTTCACTAGTCATTCCCTCATTCAAATCTGAAAATGTAATAAAAATATTCATATAAAGTCTCAGGTTTATCAAGTGAGCATCTCCATTAAAACACTTTTGGAAGGGCCAGGGATTTAGCTCAGTGGTTTCACCACCTGCTGCGCAAGCGCAAGGACCTGAGTTCAATCCCCAGTACCAAAAAAAACACTTTTGGAGAAAGTGATCAGTTAGACTAATAAATGTAGGAGGTGCTGCAAGATGATACGAATTAAAGATAATAAAAGATCTTTGAAGAGTCTAATGTACTAATAAAAAGGGGAGGAGGAGGGGCTGGGGATTTAGCTCAGTGGTTCCGCCACTTGCCTTGCAAGCACAAGGTCCAGAGTTTGATCCTCGGTACCCCAAAAAAGGGGGGAGACAAAAGTGAAGTAGAAAGTATTTCCATAATAATTCAGACCAAAAGTCTAGAATCTAGATAATACCAATGGGATGCTGGATGCTGGGGGGGAGAGAAAGAGAATAAAGGAATATAAGAGGTAAAATACTTGTTTATTGGGAGAAGATAAAAATATTGACGTTTCAGAAATCAACAGCAAGAAATAACACAAAGATGGGTCCTAAGAGCAACCATCACAATGATGTAACATTAAACACTTACTTAAAGCTTTATTATGAGGGATTGTATGTAGTAATTCCCACAATAACCATGTGAAGCATTGGTACCTATGGTGATTAATCATGATTGTCAACTTGATTGGTTTGAGAGATACCTAGAAAATTAGTAAAGCACACTTCTGGGTGTGGGTCATTGGGAGGCCCATGACCATGAAGAATGTATCTGTTCCTGGCCCCTTCTTCTGGGGCTGTCCTCTCTGCTTCCTGGCTACCATGAGATGAGTAGATTTCCTTCTTTCCATCATGATGTTTCATCCTTGGAGCCAGCCAATCCTGTACTGAAACCTATGAAACTGTGAGCCAAAATAGATCCTTCCTCCTGTAAGTTGTTATATGTCAGGTATTTTGCCCCAGCATTGGAAAGCTGTTCAATATACTAACTTCAGTCTCATTTTACAGATAAACATGCAGGCAAAAGAAGTTAAATAATTAGCCCATACTCATAAGTAGAAATGAGGTCACTTTTAGACTTTTTTTGTTTTATTGGAGACTGAACATAGACAACCATTATCAAAAATCCTACAAAAATGTTACATAGAAATTTCCAAAAATAAGCGATATAAGTGTTAAGATGCATGCCATTCTGAGTAGCATGATAAAATCTCTGTCCTGTTCCATCCTGCCTGGGGCATGAATCATGCGTACTAGGCAAATGATCTACCACTGAGCTACACCTAGCCCTACTTTTAGACAGTTTTAATGTGATTTAATATTTTAATGACCAGAAGAAAACTTGATCTCTGTAGTAGAAACCAGAAAAACAGGAAGAAAAAAGACAAATTAAAAGTACAATAAATGGAAAATATGAAACAAAATGGCAGAAATTATTCCTTATATAAGAGTAACAGCAATAAATATAAATGGGTAAAATTCATTATTTTAGTCACTTTCTTGATGCAAGGGCAAAATACCTGACACC